GGATATAGCTCCCATATATATCTTCATCCGATTTCGGGTTAATTGTGCTCCAAATGGCCGATATAAGCCCAAATGGACTGAATTTTAGTACATCGGACCAAATTCAGCCTAGAAGCAAGTATATCAAATTTAGTGAAAATCGGTTCAGATATAGATATAGCAACCATATATATGTTTCATCCGATTTAGTGTTTTAGTCCCTTACATTCGTAATGTTAACTCCACAACCGTGATATTTGGTACCAGGTATTAGATGGAGCACAGGAATAGCTGTTTTAAATTTTATCGAAATCGGTTCAGATTTGGATATAGCTCCCATATATATCTTCATCCGATTTCGGGTTATTGACCACCAAATGGCCGTAATAGCATCAATTTTGGCAAATCCGACCGAAACCAGCTTAGAAGCAAGTACACCAATTTTAGTAAAAATCGGTTCAGATATAGCTATAGCTCCCATATATATGTTTCATCCGATTTCGTCTTTAAATCCCTCACATTCGTAATATGGACTCCACAGAAATGATATTTGGTACCAGTTATCAGATAAAGCCCAAAAATAGTTGATTTTAATTTTATTAAAATCTGTTCCGATTTGGATATGCCTCCCATATATATCTTCATCCGATTTCGTGTTAATTGTGCATCAAATGGCCAATATCAGCCCAAATGGCATGAATTTTGGCAAATCCGACCGAAACCAGCCTATAAGCAAGTACACATATTTTAGTAAAAATCGGTTCAGATATAGATCTAGCTCCATGTATATGTTTCATCCGATTTGCTCTTTAAGTCCCTTACATTCGTAATATACTCTTCACAGGAATGATATTTGGTACCAGATATCAGATAAAGCCCAAAAATAGTCGATTTTGATTTTATAAAAATCTGTTCAGATTTGGATATAGTATAGCATAGCATACTCTTCACAGGAATGATATTTGGTACCAGATATCAGATAAAGCCCAAAAGTAGTCGCTTTTAATTTTCTCAAAATCTGTTCAGATTTGGATATAGCACCCATATGTATCTTCATTCGATTTCGAGTTAATTGTGCAACAAATGGCCAATATCAACCGAAATGGCATGAATTTTGGCATATCTGGCCAAATTCAGCCTAGAAGCAAGGACACCAATTTTAGTAAAAGTCGTTTCAGATATAGCTATAGCTCCCAAATATATCTTCATCCGATTTCGGATTAAATGTGCAGCAAATGGCTAATATTGGTACATCAAATTTAGTGAAAATCGGTCGGATACAGCTATAGCTCCTATATATACCTTTCATCCGATTTGTACTTTAAGTCCCTTAAATTCGAAAAATGTACGATACAAGAATAATATTTGGTATCAGATGCAGCCAAGAAATATCTTCTTTTTCAGTTTTATAAATATCGGTTCAGATTTGGATATACCTCCTATATATATCTTCATCCAATTTCGTGTTGATTGCGCACCAAATGTCCAATATCAGCCCAAATGTCCTGGGTTTTGGCAAATCTGACCGAATCCAGCCTAGAATCAAATACATCAAACTTGGTGAAAATCGGTTCACATATAGCTATAGTTCGTAAAATGCACGATAGAATTAGATAGATTTTGATTTTGTACCAAATATCTCATAGAGCTCTGAAATGCTCTGTATAAACCTTTTTACGAGAGCTCTACTAAATATGCATAGTGGTGTAGGGTATCATATAGTCGGCCCCGCCCGACTTTTGAGCTTTCCTTACTGGTTTATTATTGAAAAGAATACACACACATAAGCAAATATAGATGACATTTGGCCGGGCCTAACGTTTTATACCCTCAGCCATTTGGCAGAAACTTGAAAATTTTCAAAAAAAAAAATCTGTCGGAAAATACCGCTCAAATGAAACCCGTTATATGGGGTTATAAGAAGGCGTAGTCCTGCGTAAGTAATTTGTGTCATAGGCTGTAGTAACTTTTCCGAACTTTATATAAGAAATTTGAAACAATTCCGGTGAATAAAGTCGCAAAAATCATCAAAATATCGAAAATCGGGGGGCACCGTTATATGGGGGCTATACGATATCATGGACCGATATAGCCCATCTTCGAAATTGACCTGCCTGCAGACAAAAGACAGATCGTTTGACTGTAGCTTGATTACAACAGACGGACGGACGGAAAGGGCTAAGTCGTCTTAGAAGAATACATATACTTTGTTGGGTTTAAAATTATTATTTCGATGAATTGCAAATGGAATGACAAACTTAATATACCCTCCATACTATGTACGGTGGATGGTATAAAAATATCGGATTGCCTTTGTCCATAGCTTTTTTGCAATGCAGATGAGTATTTTGATTTCAATTCAACACAGAAATAATTCTACCATGATTCCTTAAGATTTCCAACTGCATCGGCCAATTATACGTTCAGAGCAAAGCACTAGGATTGAATATTTGAGGAATATTTATTCATGATTTTCACATGCATAATTCTGCAAAAATAATTTATTAGAAAAATACCATTCGGGGTATTGTTGAGTTTTACTTCCACCTTGTAATTGTTATGCCAATGCACTGTGTGAGGTAGCTTTAATCTATCCATCTTTTTGCTTGCTACAGTTTTGCAGGAGAAGATTTATACCCAATGATTTTTTTAAAAGTTGGTATTTGTAGGTCATAATGGGTCCTAGTTCGTGTGTCGAAATATTGTATGTATGGGTCCACGCTTTGGTATAGCCCCCATATAGCGGTACCTCCCGAGATTCGGTATTTTGACGATTTTGCTACATTGTTTCACGGATTTGTCTGAAATTTGGTATTTGTAGGTCATAGTGGGTCCTAGTTCATGTGGCGAAACATTGCATGTATAGATCCACGCTTTGGTATTTCCCCATATAACGGTATCTCACGATATTCGGTATTTTTATGATTTTTGCCACATTTTTTCATGGATTTGTCTAAAAATTGGTATTTGTTGATCATAATGAGTTCTAGCTCCGTTGGCGAAACATTGTATGTATAGACCCTAGTTTTTGTATAGCTCTATATAGCGGTACCTCCCGATATTGATTTTTGCCACATTTTCCCACAAATGTTGGTATTAGTAGTCATAATTGGTTCTAATGTTTCCATTACCCTAAGGTGGAGTGTATTAAATGTTTTTATTTATTTTTTTTTTTCTTTTCAAATATCTAAGGGAAGGGAATTTTATTTTCATTATCAACCGAAACGGCAGTTTGCAGTCGTATTTTAAACCTTTCATATGAAACTCCATGGAATAACACTTTAATGAGGTCCTCCACAGTACATACAGATGTTGAGATGAAGGATATCACTTTAAGTATTCATTGCTGGGATTGCACTAGAATGGGCGTTGAGCAACAGATAGCACTGAACTAATTAATCAAAAACATCCAACAACCACAACAATAAATGAAAAAGTCCTTGTGACGGCCTGCGGATCTTATCAACCGACACATATGCAAAGTTACAGAGGTAGAAATAGGGGTGGACCTTAGCGTCGCTGGGACAAAGTGCAAATGTACAATTTTAATTGATGATTACATTCAGAGCGGCTTATTTTTTCGCAGACGATGAAAGTTCTAGCCCAGCTATGACATCACTGGTGTTGTGTTTTCTGGTTTTCATCACAGTTACAAACCCATGTCGTTGGGCAAACGGCAAATGTGGAACACTATTTCTATGGATGCATTAAACACTCATTGTAAGTTCCGCTGAAATAGAGCACTTTCAACATTTGATGGATGTGTCAACATGTACATATCTATATACATGTGTGCGTGCGTGTGTGCAAAAATATTTTGGATTCATTGGTTATACATTTATTGGCGTGTAAGTGTGTGTGTGTGTGTGTGTGAGTCTGAATTGGTGTCACTGTTATTCGGTTTTCACAAAATGGTTTTATAAACTCTCTACAGTTTCCACATAACTTTTTGCAAGTGTTGTTACATTTGTTATTACTTAACAATGCAGGCAACTATTAATGAGTTTCTTATCCTTGGACGAAGTTGGCGTATTTGCAATCAATGGAAGGTAAATTGATTTTTTTTTTTTTTTGGTTCGTCAGTGATTGTTGTTTGTTGTAACTTTTTACGAATTTGGGCGCATGCGCTGTTCGTTTCTCACCACACTGGTTTTCCTCCCATCCATCCACCATGCAGCCGTTTCAGCGCTGTCATTGTGGGGAGATATGCAAAAACACACACTCACACACACACAATTTCGAAGCAATTTTTGCTTTCAAATCCAAATACCTATTTCAAATAGCAATTTGCGGATGGTAATTGATCAGTCAGTCGGTTCACAGGTGATTGCAGCAGGTTCTCTGCGGTTCTATGTGCTCCGTACTGATAATATTATGCTTATGTATGCCACAGTTGATTGAACTCATCGCGGAACATCTTTACACTACACTTTTCGTTCTGAAATTCTATTTTTACCAAGTATTTCGGTGCGGATGATTGTTTAGAGATTTGTTTGTCAGTTTGTATGTACAATAGGTATGCCATGGGAACGACACCGTCACATACATACAAACAGATATACCATTGTATATATATATAAATATATGTGGTTGTATATATATGTATTCCAATGGTAAATATTTGAACATTTCTATACGATTTCATTTTCCATTCAAATCACAACATATAAACAAATTTGCAAAAGAATTCAAATGTTTTTGAAAGGAAAAAATGACGGAAAAAATCGATACCACAACTTCACTTTAAATGCCACCAAAGGAATAGCAGCAAACAAACCACTTTGTAATTGTGAAAATATTCCACCCCTTTGGAGACTGACATACAGTCACCCAAGGCGATGGATGGCAACCACCGTGTACAAGTAATTATTTTTTCCATTTTTCTTTCGACACACGCACATCAGGCCATACATAACGGTCGCACATACACCCATTCCTGTCGTGTATTTTTATAGCTCCTGGATTATGGGTCCAGAAGTGTGGGAGTATACTTCCAAAATGAAGATGTATTTCTTTTTTACCTAAATTATCACTGATTTTGGATTTTTATTGAGTCGTTTCGCCTCACAGTTCACTGCAATGAGAAAAATCTGTCTCTACTTTGGGGAGTGGAACGATGGAACGATATTCTTGTTCTTGTTATTTTTCTTGCTAGGATTTTTTTTCTTTCAAAATTGCTAACAGGACGAGGCGAATCGTCATTTGCCGTTACGCGCTATCGACTTGAATGCGATGACCACCGAGCCACGACGAATCTAGTGTAACTGATTTGCGAAGCATAGCCGTACATTTTAGGGGTTCGTTTGACATTTGGTAGTGCGCATGACTGCTGGAACGACGGACGTCTGCTGCACCTCGTACCACGTGAATGTGGCCAACAAATACAGCTGTTCACCGATATTGTAGCCGGCGTCTTGTTTACTTTTTTTATCGGCCCCACTACGTAAACAGAGAGAAGAGGGAGAACCAGAGTATATAAATCAAATCGGCCAATATGCCAGTGGTATTATGTCCAGCTGCTGGGAGAAAAATCTCTCTATGGAGGCTGTATGAAGTTGATTGATTCGCTTAACCCAGTGGTGAATGATTGTCCGTTCTTGTCACGATTATCGTTAGAGGTAAATTTTATGTGATACAACCCAACAGACCAAAAATAAAGAAAACTATAATACAGTGTGAGAACAATATTATTATTACCCGCTGGCAATGAAAATTCCATTTAACTCAATTTCACCAGTCCTATACTAGATATAAGCCGGACTAGTACCAAATGTGTCCCCAAGCAATGCAAAGGTAACCAATTGACACCTTTTCGTCCCCAAGTAATGCAAAGAAGCGACAGTTGTGCATAAATAAAAACCACCACGAAAAAACCAAACGAACATTTGAATGAGATTTCTACGAACAAGAACCACTTTGAATAGTTTTTTTTTTTTTAGATTACAATAAAAAAAACAATGCACCGTTATTCTTGAGGAATGCAAGTGCGTTTTGTTTGGAAAAAGCATTCTTATTCTGATCGTTGTGAAGTGAAGTATCATTTTTCTGTGCAAATAAGTTATAGGGTGTTGAAAATAACAAATAAAAAGGTAAGAATGAGTAGTAAAAGTAATAATAGTAATAAAATAATAATAAAAGTAATTCAAGGTAAAATTATAGCATTCTTCTCAGAATTGTTACAAATTACTAATTTGTTTGTTTTCACTATAGGTCAAATCAAAATTTTAGCTGATGCTTTAGCTGAGTTGAAGGTGATGGTGCTACGATCTCAAAGTGACGAATAGGTTCCCCATCACTTATGAAAAATATTGAGAATCAATACATATATGTAAGTATTTTATAAATGTATTGCTGAACAAACATAGATTATATACAATTTTTGTTAATTTTTAGGTAAAGATTATAGCATCAATTATAAAAGGAGAGGAAATATCGAAATGTTTAAAAATGTTATCGGTTCAAATATTACTACGAGTATAATATTGAGGGAAACCATGGAAAAAAGTTTGAAGTCCCTAAGTAATATATACAGCGTTATTTTAGGTAAGGTGTATATAAACATTATTTTTATATTCTACATTTTCATACATTAAACATTATTTTTTGCAGATTCAATACCAGTTACAGAATATTCGGACACCCCTGAAACACAACTGCGAAAAGCAATACAAGTACTTTTATAAATATTAAATTAAATTTATTTTTGTTCAAGTTTTATAGAGTAAGGTATATTTGTATTCATTTCTTTGCAATAAAAAAATGAATTAAAACTAAAAATTAGAATTTCACTAACAATAATTGGTACTGAACTAGTTCATGGGAAACCAGTTTAAAATTGGTCTGCTTATACTAGATAAGGGATAGTCAAATGACACTAGTACATAACTGTATACATAGAACTAGTTAAAAGGTAGTCTGCTGACACTAGTCTGTGGCTGTGTACTTGGAACTTGGTAAGGGTTAGTCTTTTGTCACTGGTATATGACTGTAAACCTGGAAGTAGTAAAGTACCATGTACAGGTAATGCAAAGGGAGCCAATTGGTTACCTCGTATGACATCCCCATGTTAAAGTTTACAGTTGTTTGCACTGTGAGGGGTCTTAAGTGGAACTAGTTACTGTAACTCTGAGAATCGACGAGTTTCCGATGCCGAACTAGTTCATGTTGCTAGCGGGTAATATTTGGTCATAGAGCTGAGAATATATAAAACACTTTTTTGGCTGGCTTCTTCGTAAAAGAACAAGAGAAAGACCTAAAGACTAGACAAAATGTATTTTGAACAAATGTTTCTACCATGACAGACACATGTTAATATAAACAAGTTATAAAACTGTAAGTTCGGTCGGTCCGAACTTTGAACACCCTCCACCATTTGGAACGAATTTGGCAATTTGTCAATATTTTCTCAAGATTTTTTTAAGTATATTTGGCCATACGCTTTCTTGTTCTTTTCCGAAGAAGGCAGCCGATGATTTAAGCCAGTCAAAAAAACACATTTTATGTATTCTCATCTTAAGGGTTCAATTTCAATTATTCTAAAATTATTAGACAAATATTTTTCAATATTTTCTCAAGATTTTTTCATGTATGTTCTTAAGCTTTTCATAACATTATTCTCAAGCCATTTTGGTTTGTGGTTTAGCCTTATAACGATATTATTCTCAAGTCATTTTGGTAACTAATTGATGCAAAGTATTGCAAAATTAGCAAGCAAAGGCTATAGACTAGACTTGTGACCAGACTGAACAAAACGCATAGGTACTACTTTTAAAATCATTTCAAAATATCAATCATTTTGATATTTTTCACAAAAAAAGTTGTGGTCTACTCGTATTTCAGGGTCCTCCATCTAACGTAAAATTGTCACAATTGGGGCACAGAAAAACCGCACACATACATATAGTGAAAGCCGATGCACCCAAAACAAGTCAGTGTTTGGTGCGGTTTTAGGTTCAGAGACATAATTGGGTCATTTTTCTTAGAAAACGAGCAAAGAGTGGCCCTAACGTTATCTGGCGATGTTGAACGAATTTTTGATCACAAAAATTGAAGAGGAGGATATTGGCAACATTTGGTTCCAACGGGACGGCACTAGGTGCCACACAGCCGAAGTTAGACTCGACACCCTGTTTTCGGTTGACCACCTTGAAGCTATGACTTGACACCGTTGAACTATTATATATGGGGTGCCGTCAAAGATAAGTGCAACGCCGGCAAGCCATAGACAATTGAGGCATTAGGGACAATATTCGTGAAGCGATTGGTGAAATGACGCTACACAAAATCAAATCGACTCATCTTGACGAGATAGGAAAACCGATATAAAACATTGTCATTGAAGAACCATCAGTTCATTGCCTATCGTGACTTTTGGCATTCCGTCCTCGCTTGGTGGTGGCTAAGAAAATATGGGCGCCCTCTTAGTCTTACTAACGTTTGTAACTTATTTCTTCTGTCAAACTTTCAAAATACTGTAATATCCCACATAATACATCCCATGTTGGCTGATAAGCGTTTAGGTCGTATTATTGAAACCTCGCCGATCTTAATGAAGATAGTTTCCTTGTGTAAGTCTTCCAAACTGGCAAAGTTACGGCAGAGAGCATAAAACCTCAAGCTGGAGTTTTGTTCCAATTCCAAAATTTACAAAAATATGTTATTCCGATATCGCGAAAAATGTTAAACTGCGGAGAAATGCAACATATATGAAAGATATGGACTCAAAAGCGTATTCCAGAGCATTTGGAGGGGTGGAGTACATTTAATCGATAAAAATCAGTGAAAATCATCTTCAAGTGCCCGCTATGTTACATTATAACATGATGCCTATATCACGATATGGTGTAATAACATATATTTCGACTACCAACGCCATCTATTGAATTGAGGCAACAATGGAATGTCCCATCATATTTTTGGCCTCTGCATTCAACTACCACGTTTCAGTGAAAAACACTTATTATTTGTCTTAGTTTACGACTTTTTCGACGTATGTATGATACGTAGGAAAAGTATGTCATATACGTCAGAATTTCTGACAGACCATCTATGTTCTTAGTGTTTTTTCAATTATTTTTGTATTTTATTTGATTTGAAAAGCAACCAAGACACTGGTGGAACTGACCGTGTAAGACTGTATTTTAAAAAACGTCTATGTTGTTCCCCAGACCTAGCAACATTCAACATTTTCATTTTAAATAAATTTGTTTATTTTAGTCGTTTTATTTTTATACCCTACAACAATATGTGATGGGGGTACTATAAGTTTAATTGGACCAACAATTATGTAGGTTAGGTTAAAGCATGCGTGGTTGTGCAAAATTATGTAACACTTCGAAATATTGGCTCCCACATAGGAAGGAAGTATAAATGGATCTTCATATCTCGTCCGTCCGTCTGCCCATGTAAATTTGTGATCACGCTACAGGTCGCAATTATGACCCGATCTTCACGAAATTTAAAATGGAGGTTATGGTCAGAATTGAAGCGTATTGCTTTTGGAAATGATCGCGTAATATTTAAGAGTGGAGTGGACCAAAAACAGAAAAATTTCCTGATTTTGCAGTTGCTCTACAGGTCACAATTATAGACCAATCGACGCGGAAGTTAGCATGGGGCTAGAACTTAGGGCTGGGCAGAATCCTTCTAATTTGAATGGCCATCGGGTAATATTTAGTGAGTGAAATAGACCATAACATTTGTGTTAAATACAAGTCAAATTTTCCATTAAACCGTGATTCCGATTGATTCCGGGAAATCACAAATAGACGAAAAGGTCAGTTCTGACCGTTACGTAGATAGCGATAGTTAATATATCGGATACATATAGCTAAATATATGCAATGTGTATATACCAATGAAAGGGATGTTTGCTAGAATGCTTATATCTCAAAAACGGCCGGACCGATTTTGTCAATTCAGAATGCCCTCTTGACACAAAAGAATAAAATCTATATATCTAAAAAAATCACATAAAAATATGCAAATAATGATGTTAATATAGATTTTGTAGTATTTTGTGATATTTTTATGGCAGCGATTTTTTCAATTTGACTTATAATATTGAAATGTACATTTTGTAATTTTTTCACCTTTCAACACAGGTTGGGGTTATTATATACAGATTGCATTTATAGTCCGATCCTCACGAAAGGCTCAGAAGGGCTAGGCCTATTGTTTTTAAAGATGTCCGCCATATATTTAGGGGTTGAAATGGACCAATAACTAAAAATGTCTCTGATTTTGCAGCCGTTATAAAGGTCACAAATAGAAACAAAGGACACGAAATCTCACATGAAGTTAGTTAGTAAGACAGTGGGTTGGATGGGCAACTACTTTTGTGTGAAAAAATACCAACATTTCCATTGTACCGAAACGCTGAAAAAAAAAAACTTACAGGCGAAATCCAAAATACACAAAACGCGAACTTCTGGCTAAGTCATTCTGCTTTCTTTGACGAATATAGCCAAATATCGTAGACAAGCAAATCATATAGATGAGTCAAAATCTGGAGAGAGTTAAGGACAAGGAAGATGTGTTGCAATTTATATGACCATTGGATTACACTTAGCTGTAAAATGGACCACAACAACTATCAACACGACGGAGTGCGTAAATATTGGGCAAATGCCCCTTGTCAAAGGGTAATATCTGGGCAATGCTCTATCACATAATTTCAAGAGAGAAATATTCCAAAATGTATTTGGACATAAGGGGGCTTCTGACATGTTGTAGTGTTGTAGGGTATCACATGGTCGGCTTCGCACGATTATAGCCTTTGCATGTACATGTTTATTATTGTAAAAAAAATAAAAAACAAAAGCACTTCAAATTTGCCACATTCCACATTCGCAAATTATTTCATTGAGAGAGAGAAAGGCTTTCGTGAAAATAGAATTCCCTCCGATATTCGTGGATTCATATTGGACTGTAGATGTCTTGCAATGTTTGAGTGATACGTTAAAACCATATTCAAATAAAAAATAATAAAAGTATGGAATTTTTCTAAGTATTCCTCGGAGATTAGAGTGTTTTGGCTTATGGAGATATAGACCATAGACAAATGAAGATATAGACAACGAAAAGTTAGTTTTGTCTTTTTTTCCAGGTGGCTCTCATCATGTTTTGCATAGTCAACATGCTGATTTACGCGTTCAAGCCACTCGACTTCGAAAACACATTTTATCGTTTTTCAAGAATTTCACTAGAATGTTCCCATATTTTTGATGTCATTACGTACTTTTCACATTTCTTTTATTATGAAATAATTTTCAGCTGACAAATATCCTACAGTTTTTGTTATTTTTAACATTTTTGAATTGAGTGACTTCAAAATTCCCACTCAAACCCCTGAAACGATATGGACATAGACAAATGAAGATATAGACAACTAAAAGTTAGTTTTGTCTTTTTTTCCAGATGGCTCTCATCATGTTTTGCATAGTCAACATGCTGATTTACGCGTTCAAGCCACTCGACTTCGAAAACACATTTTATCGTTTTTCAAGAATTTCACTGGAATATTCCCATATTTTTCGATGTCATCACGTACTTTTCACATTTCTTTTATTATGAAATAATTTTCAGCTGACAAATATCCTACAGTTTTTGTTATTTTTAACATTTTTGAATTGAGTGACTTCAAAATTCCCACTCAAACCCCTGAAACGATATGGACGACATCTGCTGTTCCGATTTTTTTCGAAGATAAACGGTGAGAGCATTTCGTTGTCTATATTTTCATTTGTCTATGATATGGATGACATCTGCTGATCCGATTTTTTTCGAAGATAAACGGTGAGAGCATTTCGTTGTCTATATTTTCATTTGTCTATGTATAGACGCGGCAATGTTCTCACTGAGTACGTTCGAAATTAGTGTGTACAGTTCATTACGCAAGAATGAAAACATTTTTACTACGATAATCGACTCTTCTGGTAGTTTGTTTTATTTAATCCTTTGTAATCTAACAAATGCTACATTTGGCTAGTTTTTATCCAAAAATACACCCTTAAATAAAAATACAATGAAATCTTGAAAGTTCGCCAAAAAACGGTCTTCGAATAATTTTAAGTTCTCTAGCAGTACTGGTTTAAAGCAATGGTGTACACGGGCATCCACTGGTGTCGCTGTCCAAAAAAAAGAGATCAGTTAAGAGAAAACCAAAATTCTATTTTTCTTTGTAGGTATTAAACGATTCATTTCAACTGTCTTTTAGCATTAATGGTGTCCAAGATTATTTATAAATCGTATTGATAAAAAAAACATGTAAAAATAAAGATTTAACACTCATTTGTTGATGATTTAAGAGAGCCATGGCAAAATTAAGAAGGTAAAGTCATTTCAAATAAGCAGTCCCATCTCTGCATTTTCTGTAATTTACCTTGTCACATTTCACTACATAAAAACAGGGCCTCAATCCTTGTTCTATGAAAATGTGAAATCAAAACTTTTATAGAGGAAGGAAATGTCAAATGAAAAATATTTTCAAGGAAATATTTTTCATTTCATATTTTCATAGAACAAGAATCCAGCCCCAGGTTCCCATTTCTGATTTGTGTATGTACAATGGATTTATAAATACAAATTTTGGCAATAAGATTTTGTCAAATGAATAATTTTTGAATTATTCATCAGCCAAAAGATGAAAACATCACAGTCGGTATTCCCTTGTTTATATTTCCATTACACACCGGTAGAAATTAATATTGTGCTCCTAAAAATATACTAATTTATTTACATCCTTACTATTCTTAGTCTCACTATAAATTACAAGATGGCGCTCGTTATATGGAAACGAAACATTGGAAACGAAACAGTACAATACTCATTGCAAACGTTTCCATGTTTTTTAACTCAATACAAATAATGTACAAACTAATTAATGTTAAAATTATTCCTTTTTATTCATTAATCGTCATCATTTCGTACAACAAACGTTTCCCGGCGATTCGTTGATTCCGAAGTACATTAAGACAATCGTATTGTTTGTGTACTTTTGGCATTAACATTTTTGTGGTTTTGTTTTGTTTGGCGTACAAAACGATTGAAAAAAGTTTGTGTCTTCGTGAGAGGTGTACGTTAATCGTTTTGTTTGTTTTCGTTCGCTGGTTGCAAGTGATTGCAATAAGAAATTTGTTCAGCAAGAATTTTCAAACTCTCAGCGAAAAGTGGTTCTCTCAAGCTGCTCTCTTTTGCAGAACTTTTGTGACAACAAAAGACTTATTGTAACAAATTAGCAACAACTGTTACAAATTTTAGGGAAACCAGACACAGCTATTGACCATCCATACCCTCCACCATACAGTATTGAGGATATATTAAGTTCGTCATTGCGTTTGTAACTAATCGAAATAACAATTTTAGACCTTAAAAAGTATATATATTCTTGATCAGCGTAAAATTTTAAGATAGCAAGCTAAAATGTTCAATTCTTTTCAATGGAATTGCCTGAAATTCCAAACAAGGAGTTCCTTCTAAGTACGTTACGTCCTGGAAGAAAATTGTCTATATATCGTATAGCCCCTATATAACGATACCCTCTGACATTCGCTATTTCGATCATTTTAGCGACTCGTAATGGGTACTACAAGTATCTATGTCGGTCCACATCTTCATATAAACGATATATAATGGCACCTCCCTTTATTCGATATTTTGATGATATTAGCGGCATTATTCACCGGAATTGTTTCCAGCTTGATGCAAATTTCGTAATGGATACTACAGCCCATGGTCATGCAATCATATGTTTACAATTTTTTCAAAAATTATTCATTCGACAACAATCCATTGTGCATACACAAATCAGAGATGGGAACCTGATTTTATGTAGTGAAATGTGACAAGGTAAATTACAGAAAAGACAGAGATGGGAATGCATATTTGAAATGACTTTACCTTCTTAACTTTACCATGTTACAGCCCATGGTACAATGAAATAAAGGTAACCTCATTTCAAAGAAGCCTTTCCAGCACTGCATTTTCTGTAAATTAACTTGTCAAATTTCACAGCTTAAAAAACAGTACCCATCTCTGATTTTGTGTATATACAATGGATTTTTATCCTGGCTGGTGCGCACGATGACGAGTATCCGATTTGGTCCAAACTTGGTACATCGTAATATTTTTGTCAAACTTAGATCGAGTTCGGAGATGGACAATTTGGGTCCACTCCTTCTGGTACCTCCCCCACAAAAGGTCGATATTTTCAAAAAATATGTTTTTTGCACAGAAAGAGAAAGGATAATCCGATTTTGCTCCAACTTTTCAAATCCTTATATTTACGTCAGTGCTAGGTTAGGTGTGAAAATGGACAATATCGGTCCACTCCATCAAGTACCTCCCCCACAAATGGTCAACATTTTGAATAATTTCAACTCTCATAAAGTGTGATGTAAGATTGTCTTCAAATTTCACACATCCCAATATTTATATTAACCCAAGGTCTGGTTTTAAGATGGAATGTATCGGCCCACTCCTTCTGGTACATCCCCCACACAAGGTCGGTATTCTAAAAAAAATATATATTTTTTCTGCACAGAAAGGGAAGCAATAATCCGGGTTTGCTCCAACTTTGCAAATCCTAATATTAGCGTCAGTGCTAGGTCAGGTATGCAAATTGATAATATCGGTCCATTCCGTCAAGTGCCTCCCCCACAAAGGGCAAAAATTTTGAATAATTATAAGTCTTATAAAATGTGACGAAAAATACGATTGCCTTAAAATTTCACACATCCCAATATTTTCATAAACCCAAGATCTCACTGAGGGTATCCATCTGTCGGCAAAACCGACCGATACTTTTTTGCTTGTTGAATATAGATTTTGTGATGTTAAGGGTATAATTTGGAAAAAATTGTAAACATGTGATTGAATGATACATCGTATAGTCCCCATATAACGGTTTTCCTGTGAGCAGTATTTTTCGACGGATTTTTTTGGCAGTTTTTCAAGTTCCTTCAAAATGGTGGAAGGTATTAAGAGTCTGACCCAGCCGGATTTAACAGTTTTTTACTTAATTGCGTTTCGTGTTACTAACTGTATAATATGAAACCATGATTTTATAAGGTCGGCCAAGAAGACTACTTTTAACAACATTTTGTCGATAAATTTAGTAGTATTTGCACTATCGAGATTTGACTCTCTTTAGGTTCCAATCCCAATTATGTTTTTTGACATCAAACTTAGTTGTTAAATGGTATTACTGGTCTAGGACCTTTTTTTCGGGTCAACCTTCGCTATGAAGATTCATTTGAGGTATATGCAATGGAAATTACAATTCAAACCGACTGGGTTTTCTAAATCCTTTTCAACATAAACATACTATTACTAATCTTACATAGAAAATGGATGAACATTTGTCAATCTGTATTAATCTCGTACAATTTTCTTTGGAAATCAGTAAAACTACTTTCATTGATTCCAGTATCTCCTCCTCAGACTGCAAACATATTTTGTTTTGTTTTTTTTTTTTTTTTTTATAGCAAATGTTGTTCTGTCAGTGACAAAGAATGGATAACTTCTGATATTCATTCAGGTAACAAAAAAACTTCAGAAGTACACTATAGGATGAGGGATTACAGAATTACATATGTCGTTTTGATAATTTAATTCCATTATTTGATGCACAAAAGGTGTATAATCTATTTTGTTGTTACAATTATAATTGTTGACTAGATATTACTTCAGTAATAGTACGTTTATATATATGAGGGTTAACCCACTGGATTTGGATTTAAATTGTTATGTCCATTACTTTTACTTCAAATAAATCCTCTCAAAGTAGGTTAACCCTACAAAAAGTTCTAACGTAAACATGGCATAACGTTGGATTTAAGATGCAATGCTTTGATCGACGTTCCTTAAAATGTCTTATCACAATTCTACAAGAAATTTCGAATTTAGGTAAAATTAAAGAAGAAGCAGTATAAGTTGGAGAAGTTTTTCTTCAAATATTGTCGCAGTAACAAGAAATTGTGTAGATTGCTCAAACCCAATGGGGGTTCTACTGAAAAATCTCTTGAGTAATCAGTTTAATTCGAATTATACATTACATCGAAATCATTGATTAATGTTTGCTTTTCGTTTTGTCGATCTTTTCGATTTAGAGAGGGTACTCTTGAAGTTGAAGGTAGCTAGCCATCAAGCTTTGTACATAAATATCGATCGACATTTTTTCGATATCGAATGAGAGAATTTACCCCCAGTATGATGTATGAAAGGTATAACTTTGGCAATGCAAGACGGTATGTGTTGTTGTTCCACGACTTGGAAAACGCTCTCAACTAAGTCAGCTCAAAAATAAATAAAAAATGAAAGTATAACAGAATTCTATAGTATCTTAGTTTTATTATTAAACAAATTTTCGTAAAATTTTCTAAAATATTATAAAACACATTAGCAATTGCAGTGCTATGAATTGAAATATTCCTCTTCAAATTTACGGAAATCTTCTTCGGTGAAAATAGACTCCTGTTTTACTTTAGGTATGATCTTCTTAACATAACGTCCTTTGTGCGCTCTCTGGACAATCTGAAATTAAAAAAAAAAATGTTTACATGGAGTTTTTACGAATTCTTTTCAAATTATCTCGGAATTGTAGCTAGATATTAATAAGGTTTGTATGCTTCAGTGGAATCTATCAGGAGGCTCAACATTTTATATCTGATTTTAGAAGGTAAGCAAGTTTTTTGCGTCGGGTAAGCATATTTGCTCACTCTTATCAAGATATTGTAAAAAATGTATGGGAAGTGTAGCCGTGGTGTACCATTTTATGATTTTCGATTTTTCAGATTTAAAATTTTGTTCAGTTTTCGAGCTATTAAACAAAGTTTGAATCTTTTGGGTATTTTATTCAATTTGTGTGTTTTTTTAGCATTAGTCGGCACATGTTCCTATAGACGGCTTACCGATTTTTTTGTAAGGAAGAAAAAATATATTTAATAAAATATCATATTTTTTATTAAAAAAATGATTCGACGTTTTCAAAGCAAATTTTAATCTATAGAACGTAAACAAATTAAATAATTATATAAATGAATTCGTGCATTTTATAATGATATCAAACCCCACCCACATGACGACTTGAGGAAAATAGTGCCATTGCCAAGGAAATCGGTCGCAGAATACAGTTAAAGTCTTAGAAATGCTAAAACGTGACCATTTTCCGCTAGATTGCCTGTTATTTTTTCTGAGTTTCAAATGCCGATTTCTATTTCGATTTCGAATAACGATATGTATAGATAGAAACCATTAAAAACTCTATATGCCAAATTTGAAACAATGAAACCGAAAATGTGACTAAAATCATTAGAAACTGAATATGAATATCGAGATCGGAAACATATAGTCTATGTGCCGCAAACGGAGTTAGAACTCACTACGAACTACACATACCGAATTTTAACAAATACGTTAGACCATTAATAAGTGGAATGAGTTTTCTCACCTTTTCCGCGTCTTTGATGTTAATGGTGTTCATAGACAGCGCCAGAAGCCTCTTAATATTTTCTTCTGATTTTTTGTCTTTGGTTTTGAGATCGCTCTTTACCTCCTGTATGTTCTTTTTATATGGCTTAAATTTTTTGTCTTCCGCTTTAATATTATAAGAACCACTTCTCTTGCCCGAAGTTTTGTTTTGTTTACTGCCTGTAATTTCAAAATATTGTCTTCACAACAGCTACACCACCACAAATTAAATATTTTATTCAAACCTTGCAGTTCCTCTTGAACGATATCCACACTTTGCTTCAATAGCTTCAATGACATTTTAGTTTTTAATTGATATTATTTAGTTTATTTTGTTGAAAAATGTGTTTAACTAAGTGCAATGTGACTTAAAGCAATACAATGCCCCTAACAAAAACAACGGCGTAAAAATGTGAAACAGCGAATCAAAACAAAATGTGATTTTGAAGAGTAAAAGAGAAAAAGATAACAGTCCTCTATAAATCGATTTGTGACGAATAAAGGCCTATTAACTAAAATTAATGCTAGGAACACAATTGGAGCGAACGACGAATTTCGCCCTACGCGGCGACAAAATGAGCCGCGAAAATTCGTCGTATGGAACACAATACCGACGAAATTATAAAACAGCTGATGAAGTTGTTTACTTTTTGCTCATTTGTTGACTACAATGAATTATACAAGAACACATAATTCTTTACGTTCTCTATTATAATTTCACTTATGTCCATCTTCTCTATTATAAATTCACTGATATCCATCTTCACTCAGGCGCAAGTACACAAATAAATAAACAAATTAATTATGTTTTTTTTATACGAGTAACAGATAGTAGAGTGACCATAACAAATTTTAAAGTAAAAAGTAACTTTATTTACTAAAACACATAAAATTCGTACAAGTATGGCCACCTTGTACTGTTTTGTTCGCCGGTCGCCGGCGTATGAAATAGAAATAAAGCTAATTGAGTTCGCGGCGACCGACGAAATTTTCGCCGGTGCCGTGATTGTGTGCACTTCCATATACACATATGTGTTTTATTTTTGACGACGAACATACGCCGCGAAAAAATTCGTCGTTCGCTCCAATTGTGTTCCTAGCATAAGGCCCTAGAAACCGTTATGCGTCGATAAGATCACTTTAAAAATCATTAAGATCTAAATAGAAAGCACGCGGTGAGCCAATTCACGCCTTCTGTTGTTGTTTTCCGATATTTAATGCGTAAAATGGTTCAACGATGGTACAATGAAATCAAGGTACGGCACTGAAACCAATCGATTTTAATTTATTTTATTTCCCTGGCATTACATGCCAAACTATTGTATTTTCGACACTTCCCTAAAAAATACACACTTCCTTGAAAAATAAAAGATATTATCTCAAAACAATTGTGTAAAAAACGTAGATTGCTGCATGGTACAATGATATCAAGGTAGGGCTATGATACCATATGATTTCATTTTTTTTATTTTCTTGGCTTAATATGTCATCTATACTTGTTTATGTATGTGTTTTCTTTTCAATAACAAAAAAATTGTCCAGAAAACATTCAAAATAGGGTGTTTTCAAAATGTTTATTTCAACGTATGCATTGACAAAATCTAGAGTTTTTGTAGCGAAATAATCCTTTTGAGATATATAGTACATGATTTTGAAAAGAAGTGTTAACCTTTCATTCAGTTTTCAATTATTTATTCAAAATAAATGCAACAAGTTGTTTGATTTTTTATTGTTTTGATACTAATTCTGACATTACAAGCCAAACAGGTAGACCTCTGTACTTGCATTTTTTTCAAAGTTGACCTACCTTCTCTTCATTGTACCCATGGTACAATGAATTCAAGGTAGGGCTATGATACCATATGATTTCAATTTTTTTATTTTCTTGGCTTAATATGTCATCTTTATTTGTTTATGTATGCGTTTTCTTTTCAATAACATAAAAAATGTTCAGAAAACATTCAACTTCGGATGTTTTCAAAATGTTTATTTCATCGTATGCATCGACAAAATCTAGAGTTTTTGTAGCGAAATAATCCTTTAGAGATATATAGAACCTGGTTTTGAAAATAAGTGTTGACCTTTCATTTAGTTTTCGCGGTTTTCAATTATTTATTCAAAATAAATGCAACAAGTTGTTTGATTTTGTTATTGTTTTGATACTATTTCTGACATTATAAGCCAAACAGGTAGATCTCTATACTTGCAATTTTTTCAAAGTTGACCTACCTTCTCTTCATTGTACCATGGGCAGAACTACCATATGATTTCAATTTTTTTATTTTTCTGGCTTAATATGTCAACTTAATTTGTTTATGTGTGCGTATTCTTTTCAATAATAAAATTTTTTTTCAGAAAATATTCAAATTCGGGTGTTTTCAAAATGCTTATTACAACATATGCATCGACAAAATCTACAGTTTTTGTCGCGAAATAAACCATAAGAGATATATAGAATATGATTTTGAAAAGAAATTTTGAACTATCATTCAGTTTTCGCGGTTTTAAATTATTTATTCAAAATCAATGCAACAAGTTGTTTGCTTTTTTATTGTTTTGATAGTAATTCTGACATTACAAGCCAAACAGGTAGACCTCTATACTTGCAATCATTGTACCATGATTGATTAATCCCTTTTAAAAATTATCAAATAAATGGGAACATCTTGTTGCATCCATGATACAATAAAATCAAAATAAAACTATGACACCATATGATCTTAATTTTTTTAGTCTCTTGACTTAATATGTCAACTTTATTTGTTTATGTGTGCGTATTCTTTTCAATAATAAAAAAATTGTTTAGGAATGTACGTATGCATCTGCAAAATCTACAGTTTTTTGTAGCGAAAGAAACCTTTGGAGATATATAGAACATGATTTTGAAAATAAATTTTGACCTTTCGTTCAGTTTTCAAATATTTATTCAAAATCAATGCAACAAGTTGTTTGGTTTTTAATTGTTTTGTTAGTAATCCTGACTACCTACCTTGTCTTCACTGTACCATGCTTGCATCCACTGTACCATGGTAGAAGAATATAGGTAGACACATCGACGCAGCTGCTGGGACAATGAACTGTCAAACCAATTTTGGAATTATAAATGTTGAATGAAAAATTATTTAAATTTGTAAAAATTGTTGAAAAATGCATATCTTTACAACCCACGATTTGTGTCGTATAAGAAAACATATAAAAATCTACTTATATTTGAAAAGAAATTTAAAAATTTTTGACATATCAATGCTTCCAAGCGTTGATGCATCTACCTGAATTTTTCTACCATGCAATGTACAATAAAAAGGTAATAGTACGTTTATATACATGAGGGTTAACCCACTGGGTTTGGATTTAAATTGTCATATCCATTATTTTTACTTCAAATAAATCCTCTCAAAGTAGGTTAACCCCATGGTACAATGAAGAGAAGGTAGGTCAACTTTGAAAAAATTGCAAGTATAGAGGTCTACCTGTTTGGCTTGTAATGTCAGAATTACTATCAAAACAATAAAAAAGCAAACAACTTGTTGCATTGATTTTGAATAAATAATTTAAAACCGCGAAAACTGAATGAATGCTCAAAATTTCTTTTCAATATCATGTTCTATATATCTCTTATGGTTTATTTCGCGACAAAAACTGTAGATTTTGTCGATGCATTCGTTGCAATAAGCATTTTGAAAACACCCGAATTTGAATATTTTCTGAACAATTTTTTATTATTGAAAAGAAGACACACACATAAGCAAATGAAGTTGACATATTAAGCCAGAAAAATAAAAAAATTTAAATCATATGGTAGTTCTGCCCTACCTTGAATTTATTGTACCATGGTTAACCCTACAAAAAGTTCTAACGTAAACATGGCATAAAGTTGAGCTACCAGCTGATTAAAATTTTTTTCTAAGTGTGCCCGACTACTGCCGATTTTGTGTATGTATTTATTGTTTTGAAAAACGAAAACAAAACATTTTCAAAACCAATGATTATAAAACACGTACATTGCGGCTCGTACGTTAAAGCTATTAACCAGTTTAGCCATGAAATTGAAAGATTGAACAGTTTGGATCATATTTTTGAGAGAAAATTCAGGCATTTCATTCTTTTTTCGCGTTATTTAACTCATATTAAAAATGAGGAAAAATATGAAAACAAACTGTTGTATATAATTTTGAATGAGTCTGACAGGAAACGGACACAGCCTCAGGGCTGTATTTCTGTAGTTTTACGAAGCTGTTCTACCTCCTTATTGTAACATGCTTGCATCTAGCCATGCTTGAATAGTTTTGACAGGAAGTTGCTATATCCTCCGACCCGTATTACGAACCTGCTTTACCTTTTCATGCAGGAATTGTCCAGCAACTTCTTTCTGAAAAAGTAAATAGTTTTATTCAAACAGACGGAATCCCTGCAAAAACTTGCAAGGAATCAGCTTGTTTGAGAAAACAAAACAATTTGGGCGTCATAGACAGAGATTAATTTTGCCAAAATAAAGAAGTTCTTAAATTTCTTGTCCAAATAGCAAGTAATTCAAGAAGAAATTTTTCCAGGAATAATTTTTAAACACTCAGTGGAAGAACTGTCATATTTGTTTTCTTAAACCTCTCTTTCTTGCGGATGTTTTGTGTTAACAGACGACTTCAACAATTGTTACAAATTTTAAGATAACCAAACACACCTATTATTCTTCCGTGGCAAAAGGAGTAAAAAGATAATAATAATTGTGCGTATTCTCGTCATCGATAAAATAGAGACTTTCAGCGTCGATAAAGCCGTATTTTCCTAGTTACTGTTTTATATAGGGAAATAATGAAATTATAATATATTCGGAGAAAACAAAAAAAAACAAACGAAGATGCTAGCCGATGACTTAGGCCAGTCAAAAATGTCTTTTATGTACTTTCTCTTTACATATTCTCCAGAACTGTGAGAATATAAAACTTTTCACTAAAATAACTGATTTTTTCTTTATTATATTGAAAAAATGGCCAAGCCAGTAGAATCTTACAGCTTTTGGAACAGAGTATTTTCCTAACTTATCCTACATTGTTGGTAAGTTCTAGAACTGTACGAATGTAAGAGTCTTTACTTCGGTAACCAATTTTCCCTTAATGATATCGGCGAAATTTGCAAAACTAAAGGGCTAATTACATAAGAAGCTTGAAGTCATGGCTAGGCTTATTTTGTGACATTTCACAAAGGGATTACAGAGCCACACTAAAATCCTGTCGTCGTTTTCCATTATAGTCATGTATAGGAGTTCTTGGAACCATCAATCAATTGTTAATTTTATTCATTTTTTGTTAATTTGTTTTAGTGTTTAATTTTAAGTAATTCTTTTAGGATTAAGGATATTATAATTAATTTAGAGTAGTCATGTATAGAAGTTTTTTGAACCGTCCAGGGCCCTGTCGGCTAGGTTTCTGTACTAATTGAAAATAAATAAATAAAAAAATAAATAAATTAGCATTGGATAGAAGAAATAAATAAATATAATTTGACATTAATATGCCTAGCCATGACTTTAAGCTTTTTATGTATTTTTACCCTAATAGATTCTTGCAGGTTCTGGAACAGACCAAGAATGTACAACTTTTTACTACGATAACCGATTTCCCGATTTATGATATCGAAGAAACTTGCAAAACTAGTAGATTCTTGCAGGTCTGGACCAAATTTTATACATTTTTACATTCTTAAGTTTTTGGAACAGACTACCTTTATGACAACTAAATATGATATAATTAAATAAAGTACTAAACTGGTAGATTCTTTCAGTTTCTGGAATATATAAATATTTGTATTTCCGTATTCAACGCAATGTATCTTTAATTTTGACACCATGCACTTGTGTTTGCTGGCGGCTTTTAAATAAATCGATTTCGTGTTTTCTTCTTCTTTTCTTTTCGTAAAACATAGTTAACTCGATAATCGATCTCTAGAACCCTGCAAACATTGTACGCCGCCATTTTCCTTTTTTTCTTCCTCTTCTACCCCGTTTTCGCTTTCTGCTTCTTTGTCAAAGTTTACAATATCACACGAAACAGGAGATTTTCATTGCAACAATTTTATAAATTTTCGTAGGACAATCAATAAATTTCTGTCCCAAACTATGAGAAATCGCTAAACAAGCCCTTGGAAAATGTGTGGAAACAGAAGGAATTACGTAATGATGCCACAAAACTTATTTTGAAATAAAATAAAAATTTTCATGAAAAGTCGTTTCCCAAAACAGAAGTGTATAGTGTATGTGCGTGTGTAGTAGTGTGAGCGATTCGTGGATTCGTTGCTTTTTGTCTTTTATTAACAGAACAGAGTGTATCCGAGTACGTAAAGTGTGAGTGAGTTGTGTAAAACAAGAAGAAGCAGAGTGCTGGGCTGACTGGCTGGCTGGCCTAAACCACCTCAAGAAAAAAGTGAAAAACCAGCATCGAGGAGCTGATGAAGCACTGAAAATAACAAGTTGTGGCCAGCCACGAAAATACAGGCTTAGCTTGTTGACCAAAAGTGTACCACCACAAGAAAAGGGAGACAAATAGTCGTCTATCCACACAGCTAACGCAGTAACTAACGAATACACCAAAAGAAAATATACAAAAAAGAAAAAAAAAAAACATAATAAAAAAGCACAACATAACTACTAATCGTGCGTGATCGTTCATCGTATAATCGAGAAAATCTAATGACAGTGTGCAGTGTGGTAACAAGGAAAAGCAAAGCAACAACAACGAAGGCGAGTGACAACGTCTACTTGCTTTGGATTTAGTTTCACATAAAGAAAAGAATAACAGAAATCCATATGTAAAACAAAACAGAAAGAACAAAAAGAAATACATAATCGAGGAGATAAGTGTCACGAATCGACTTGTCCACCTTTGAACGAGCGTCTTAGACAATCAATTTAATCACATGCAAGTGAAAAGGCCTAATTGCGCCGAACGACACGTATCCTGTAATTGATCACCCCCTCAAAACATCTAGTCTTGTGTGCATTTCATTATACAGAGGGAGGTGGCGAAGTGCACTCTAAAGGAACGAGCGAGTTGGCGAGCGGCAGTTGAATAAACGAGGGCGCTGCAGCACCTCTTGCCCTTCTCTCAATGTAAGTTTTGTTCCTTTCTTACTTCTTCTTAGTGGTTCACTCACAGCGCTTGCTGCTGCTGCTGCTGGTGGGTTAGCGAACAACAATAACAAGACTCGGGTGTGTGCGTGTGTGTGTGTATGCATGTGAGGTGTATATACTGTTTATGTGTGAATTTTGTCTTGTTTCTTATTGTTGTAAATCTGCATCAAAGATTTTTATTTGAATTTGTTTCCTTTTCATATTGTGTGTGCTGTGCTGCTGTGCTGCTTTTCTTTCCTTTTTTGTTAATTATTTCATCTTAATTTACACACATTTTCATCACTGTCGATTTCGTTGTAATTCCCTTTCGTAAAAAGTGATTTTATTTTTATATCTCGATTGGTTCGTGTGTTGTTTTTCGTTATTGTTTTTGTTGTTAGCAACAAGTTTGTTTTGTTGGTTTATTTTTACACTTACCATCCATCCGTCGTTTCTGGTTCTACTGGTTTTTCTTTTGTTAGCAACATTTTCTAATTATTTATTGTGTGTTGCATGAACTCCCTTGGCCCTCGAAGTGTCCCGCCGCGAACTTTTCTCGCTGACAAAAGGATTTGCATTTTCTTAAAAGTGGTATCTAACGATTTGCTTTGATAAGCATATTCGGTTTGATACGAACCGATATATTCTTTGTATTTTCAGCTTTACCCGAAAGTAAATCTGTGAACCACTACTACTGTTCTGGACTTCGACTTAGGAGTGGAAGTAATGTGCTGATCACAAATGTTTAAAGATTGAATGATCCATATTGTACACTTACATTTAATCTGTTTATAATATTTATATTTTGTGCATATTGATGGATGACGTTGGAAAAAACTAAACACCGGTGGAGTGGTCAATTGTAGAATATGTTGTTACAAATTTACTAGAATCGTTTTAATATTGCGATAGTTTTCCAAACGAACAAATGTTGGACATACCTCTCCAGTCAAGGGGTGTTAGAAGGGATATGCGTCATATCGAATACATATATTTTTTAAATTTATTGTATATTTTCATAAATATTTTATTATAAATCATAGCATACATCATGTGAATTTTCTTCGACGAACTCTTTATAACGGATACTGAAATGGTCTTAATGTACATTCAATTTTTGAAACGTCAATTGCATTGCGTTCAAACCAATCATTGTATATTCCAGAATGCCTCTATATGGAACTAATTCTATTCTGAAATAAAAGGAATAAAAGTTGAGATAGAGAGAAAACGGATAGACCTTTGTAGAAAAGTAGAAAGGATAGAAACGTATGTTTAACTCCTTTTTGTGAAATTATAGATGATCCGTGTCTGAATGCTTATGGGGTTGATTGAATAATATATCGCGCAGGAAGCGGGATCGTATGAGTATCGCCCTCGGAATTCAAGCATTACTCTAGTTGTGGAATGTCGTAGGCCTAATAGAAAGTGGAAAGCTTAATAACTCTAACATTTCATACCTAGCTATACGTACTAAACCCAACTCACTCCACAAAGCCCATACATTACAACTAGTAGTTTCCTCGCCCAAACTTCCATGGATGGTGTCATCAACAAGAGCATCCCTTCTTTGACATTATCCCATCTTATTTAATTCGTTGTGTAGCCCTTTTGATGTAAAATTATGGGTAAAGGGAAGAAAACTGAATTTGAGTTAAGATGAGAGAGGAATGAGAAAAGTTCCATAGTTTTCCGCCCTTTAGAGATATGTTGCTATCTAATTAAAATAAATTAATTTTGTAGGCTATTTTAAACTTAAACATTATCATATTCTTTGTTTCCTAGATTTCTTTTTCTTCCTTTCGTTGGATGTCAATTACTGAGTCAATTGAATTCACATGAATATTCTTCTACTGTCCTTAACTTGATATTTGACCATAACTGTCCTTAGTAAATTGCACAAAGTTAAGGTGATGATACATGCGCAGCTTGGTATCATGACATGGCATATTTAGTAACATATCATAGATGGATGTCAGAGTCGCGCTGGAATCCTGCCTTCGTTTTTCCTTATTATTTGATCATCACATTTACCCGACTTTTATACCGTAGCACTTGACACCACAATCTTTTTTACAATTGCAAAGAACTAGTATTAAGGAGATTTTCTAGCTAGTGGGAGAAAAGTTGTACCAGTGTATTACTTTTATATATCCAAACTAATTTTTCTAGCTTTAGTTGATTTCGCAGACACGTATGAATTTGGTAATATCGTCGATACAAGCGTTGAACAGCATATGCTGATATTTCCTACAAAGAATGAATATCTGCCATGTACAATGAATACAAGATAAGTCAGTATAATATTATTATTTTTTCTTCAATTTATATATAAATAAGTCTTTCAAGATAGAAGGGCATTATTTGGAATGAAATATTGAAATATGTGCTGCTTTTAGTTCTATTTTGACAATGGGCATCCAATTATAATTGACTTCCAAAACGATGTATGCTTTGAATGCGAACCAAGAATCCAATACACCTTAAAATACACCAATACACCTTTAAAATGTTGACTGTATGCTACAGACGATTAAGTTTTCCGTAGTGCCACGCACAGATTTTATTTAGATTGATGTTACGGCTGTCTAATCGAAACTGTGTTCGTTATGTGTATTTTATTATAAGTATGTTTGTTTATAGACTGTTAATCCGGTTCTTCTTCGATGTCCAGGTATTCTAGGAATTCTGCTACCTTTATGGGCTGTATCCAGAGATCCTCTGGACGGAGTTGGATAGTCTTGGCTGGACAATTGAACAGATGCGGCGTATTGTGCGGGCCTGTATCACTCGCAGGGCAGGCGTTCCGTACGTCTTCGTCAATTCGTGCCCAATATGAATTGAGACGGCTGCACCATCCTGAACGTATTTAGGCCAAAACTACCCTTAGGCTGTAATGGATGTGGGGTGGACTCCGCGGATGGCATTCATACTTTAATTGTTAACTACGTCTGTGGCTCCATTAGTATGAATGCTATTCAAACCCGCTTGATAGGCTTCATGGGGCTCTCTTTCTCTTATATCGCTGGACCTCTCTTTCTAGATTATGCAGGTCCTTACTGACAGGTCTGGGTGGGGATTTCTGTCCACCATATGTCCACTTTCTGATTAGATTTAGGCATGTTCGTTGCATTTACGGTTCGATTGGGATGAAACAGCTGCGACTCAACGACAAACTCTTTTTTAATTTATTTACAATCGAGTCAGATTCTAATATAGCAGCCACTTTGTATGTAAAGTCTTAATATACACCCGATAGCAGTGATATTTGCCGCAACACACAATCAATAACGATCATGGTTGTTATGGTTTACTTTACACAAATTTCCAATGTAAACGTGTATCTCTTACTGGTAGGTATGCTCGATTGTGGTCATCCGAATATACTGCTGTTATTTTAATTATGTTTATATAATACCTTAATATAATGGACTAAAAATATGGTCAAACTTGCGCCACGCAATTCAATTTGTATATCACTTTCTTGTCATTGAATAAGTTTTACCAACGACAAACAGATTGTTAAATTCTTTTAATCAAAAAAAACTCTGGCTCTATTTAATGTGGGAACACATAGAACGCCTTTTTATGTTGCTTAAGTCATCGGCTGGATTCTTCGTAAAATAACAAAGGAGCGTAGGGTGTACAAGTATAAATTATTTAGATTGCTATGATCTCTTAGGACTACTGCACACTTACGACGAGAAGTCTCTTATTTACTGTTCGCAAACTCAAAAAAAAAAAAAAAATTGACTGAATATTTGAACGACTCATAATAATTATACATATTCTAAATAAAAGTCATTGATCTTCCTTGTCATTATTATTGTAGTCTTTATGACAATAGCCTGCAATAAGGAGCATTCAATCACAAGGTTTGGAAACAACATGAGATTATTTTTGCTGAAGATGTGGTTATTCTTTTCTATCAGCTAACACTCATTCGAATCCCAAACCCGATCCAATGTAAATTATATTAATTTATTTACTGACTATTTTTATACCCTCCACCTTGGAAAGGAGGGTATATTAAATTTGTCATTCCGTTTGTAACATCCTTAAATATTCGTCGTAGACCCCATACAGTATATATATATTCTAAGTCGATTTAACGATGTCCACGTTCTGGTATAGTCCCCATATAACGGTACCTCCCGATATTCGGTATTTTGATGATTTATGCCACATTTTTTCACGGATTTGTCTGAAAATTGGTATTTGTAGGTCATAACGGGTCCCTGTACGTGTGGCAAAACATTGCATGTATAGGTCCACGTTTTGGTATAGCCCCCATATAAAGGTACCTCCCGATATTCGGTATTTTAATTATTTTTGCCACATTTTTTTCACGTATTTGTCTGAAAATTGGTATTTGTAGGTCATAATGGGTTCTAGCTCCGGTGGCTAAACATTGCATGTATGGGTCCATGATTTGGTATAGCCCCCATATAACGGTACCTCCCGATATTCGGTATTTTGATGGTTTTTGCCACATTTTTTTCACTGATTTGTCTAAAAATTGGTATTTGTGAGTCATAATGGGTCCTAGTTCGTGTGGCGAAACATTGTATGTATAGGTCCACGTTCTGGTATAGTCCTCATATAACGGTACCTCCCAATATTCGGTATTTTGATGATTTTTGACACATTTTTTACGAATATCTCTGAAAATTTGGTGGTTGTAGATCATAATGGGTCCCAGTTCGTATGGCGAGTCATTGTAATTATAGGTCCATGATTTGGTATATCCCCATATAACGGTACCCTCCGATATTCGGTATTTTGATGGTTTTTGCCACATTTCTTCTAATGTTTCCTTTACCCTAAGGTGGAGGGTATTAAAAGTTTGGCCGGACTTAATGTTCTTTTACTTGTTTTTTCTAAATTTCGTATATTAAGTTCGAAACAGTTACTACAGCCTATGACACAAATTACTTATGCAGGACCACGTCTTCGTATAGCGATGCCCGTCCGTCTATTCGTCTGTGGAAATCACTCTAGCTTCCGAACGAAATTAAGTAGGTTGATAACATTTTACTCCAACGTGAATTATGTCTGCAGGATTTTTGGTATTGAAAATGAGTGATGTAGGTCCATTCGTAATGGATACTACAGCCTATGACAGAAAATGGTCTGTGCTGGATCACGTCTTCGTATAGCCCCAATATAACGGTACCTCCCTATATTCGGAATTTTAATGATTTTAGCTACATTATTCACCTAATTTTTTTATTCAAGTTTCGCATTTTAATATTGTAATGGTTTATGACAGAAGTTGCCTATACAGGTCTACGTCGTTGTGTAGACCCTAATATAACGGCTACATTTGGTATTTTTAAAATTTTATTTTATTTTTTTAAAAATTGCCAAAATCGTTCCAAATGGTGGAGGGTATTCGAAGATCGGCCCGGCCGAACTTACAGCTTTTTTACTTGTTTTTCCTATAAACACTTTAATACCCGAAGTTCAGAAACTCTCTTCTGATTCTTTTAATCCTTTTCAAAAACAATTAAACAAATTTAATCTGTGATGCTCTTTTCTATTCCAGATTCGTAATCAACTTCAAGGAGAAATCAATATAACCGGAGGCAGGATCAAAATACATTAAGAGGTGGCAACTGCCAGTGCCAAAATAACTGGGATCTTCAGAACGAAACTCTTGTTGCCTCTATTCCACACTCAATATGGCCACCAGCGATGACGAACCTATGCATTTGTATGAAGTCTTTCAGAACTGTTTCAATAAAATAGCAAATAAGCAACCAACAGGTGCCGGAGCTAATGTCGGTGGACCCGGGGATCGCAATGGTGGCTATCAATCGGCATATGGAGGACTTGGTGGCATGGAGAATGGAATGTACGGTGGAGACGACTTTAATCCGATACACGAGGGAGCCTCCGGCAGTGGCATGCGATATTCGGGGAATGCACCAGTAGATCAATATTTTGATGGCGGAATCGGTAATGGTGGAAACGCCGGTGGAAGTGGAGGTTGGTATGGGTCGCCAGTAGGTGGAACTGGTGCATACGGCGGCCAGACAGGATATCAAAATAATGGGCCCATGAGCAGTCATCATTTGGGAGGTCCTCCTCAACATCATGATCCTGACGCACATCATATGGGTCCAAATACAGCTATGGGCGGCCTCCAAATGGATCCTGGTCACGTGGGCATGCACAGTCCAGCGCCAACTCTGCTGCCTCCTATGAGTTCTTTTCGCGGCAGTAATACAAATAATATACAACAAATCGGTGGGAATCAAGCTGCACACTCTCCTGCTCTATATAACTCACCACAGCCGCATAGTACTCCACACAGTTCTATGTCGACGCCGGGTCCACATCCTAACCATCATCCTTTGGGCGGTCTTCACGCCGCACCCCATAGTCCTGCAATTCAAAATGATGCTTTCGCTGTGGGTGGAGTGGGGGTGTCTAGCGGTGGTGTCAATATTGGACCGAAACCCTCCTCCACATCCAGCGTTGGAGGTGGTGTGTCAGGAACAAATGGTCCAAATAGTGGAATGCGCCAACACATGTATATGTCATCAACTCCAGCCGATCAGTCCATCAGCAGTTTTAGTTCAAATCCCTCAACCCCTGTGAATTCGCCTCCTCCTCTTACCCAAAGCGGTCTAGTGGGCCAGACAATGATGGTCGATAAAAGTGGAGTCGGACAATCGGGCCCACCCGGCTCGGGTTGGGGCCACAATGTTCTGAACGGTGCCGGTCCCAGTAGCAGCAGTACTGTAAGCGGCGGTGCTAGCGGCAACTACGCATCTGATATGGGGTTATCCGGTCTACATTCCCTAGACGACGCTCTACATGTGCTGCGCAATCATTGTGAACCCGAGCTTTTAAGCGGCGTAAGTGCGACGCTCTCCGCTATGGACAATATGGATGGATTGTCTTCGTTTGTGCCAACATCCCCGTCCGGACACGGTATGGTTTCGGCCGGTGCCGGTCCCGGACCCTCAGTGCTTAACACAACACACGACGTGATGTCGGCGGGTCCGTCGTCCGTGCAAAATGTGGCAGGCGTTGTAGGAGGACTAGCCCCCCAGATAAAGATGGAACGCACATCCACAAATGTGAGCGGAAGTGGTACATCGGGTTCCGCCGGTACGACAAAAGGAAAGAAACGAAAAGAACAATCAGCCGGCGCAGCTGCCTCTGCTGCTTCCAGTGGTGCTCCATCCACGTCAGCAATGAATAACATGCTCGATGTAACAGACACGAAGCCCAGCAGCTCAATGGAAGGTTCTCAGCATGGACAGGGACCTCTATCCGGAAAAGGCACGAAGCGACCACGACGTTATTGCTCATCGGCGGATGATGATGATGACGCAGAGCCCGCTGTGAAAGCCATGAGAGAGAAAGAAAGGCGTCAAGCGAATAATGCACGCGAACGTATTCGTATACGGGACATAAACGAGGCGCTGAAAGAACTCGGCCGTATGTGTATGACACACCTAAAATCCGATAAGCCTCAGACCAAGCTGGGAATACTAAATATGGCCGTCGAAGTAATTATGACACTGGAGCAGCAGGTGAGGGAACGCAACTTGAATCCCAAAGCTGCCTGCCTCAAGCGGAGAGAAGAGGAGAAGGCCGAAGATGGGCCAAAGTTGGCGGCCCAACATCATATGTTACCCCAACCCCCACCGGGAGTTTACGGGCAACCGCCACCACAATTACCACCGACAGCCCAAAGCGGTCTCCCACCCGTAGGTCAGCCACCTCTGCAAGCGCAACAACCAGGTGTACAACTGCCGCCTCATTTACAAAGCCACAATCCCGCGCCCCATTCACAATAGCAGGCGCATAGCAGTCTAAACGATCCGCCCACTTCCCTTCTGCCAACAGATATCGCCGCACATCAAACCAGCCACCAGCAGCTGAATACACAGCCGCATCAATCCCGACATCAGTCCTCCGGATCTGATCTGGAGCAACATCTGATGAGTAATCTGAGTTTGTTTCGACGACGTCATCCACAGGCACAGTCCGGTGCCATGTCAAACCCCCATCATCAACAGCAGCAGCAGCAGCAACAACACCCACCACCTCCGTCACCACATCTTCTAATGCATCATCAGCACCAACTGTAGGCAGCCATAAAAAAGTGATGTCCTTCCTTGCCTACTGCATACACTTGTATGTACACTGTTACTTTGGATGTCCCGCCGTCATGGTATCGCATAAATTGTAAATAGCTATAAAGAAATCTATTCTCCGAATTCGGTTTTAGAACTGTAATGTGTCCTATTTTTTACTTTACGATATTCTTTCTTTTTTATTAGTTTGGTTTAGTTTTCTTCTTTGCCCCTAGACAAACTCCTTCTTATGCCACCATCCGACTATGTTTAAGATTCATGTTCGAATTGTGTATAAAGTAGAGATCAATCATTATTAACATTCAATAGCTCTCTATAGCATAGAATGAAGGGTACGCGGCACGTGTCGCTAGATAAATGTGGAAGAGCTCGGTAGGTTAAATCTATAATTCTTTTTGATTCACTGAAATTCTTCATATGCTCCGTAAGTCATTCATGCCTTCTGCGATTGTGTATCCCTTTTGGATGTCATTTGTTGTTTATTCGTGCATATTGTCGCGCAACCCTGTGTGATGTCTTACATATTACCTTTCAATTTTTGTTAGGTATGCATTAAAGTCTTTGTTCATATATATATTTTTTTTTTGTTAAATGGTGGTTTATAATCGGTAACCGACTCATTTCAATGCGCGAGATCTAAATACAACTAAGTGCTATCACCATAATTTGGTCTTAGATACCAACATTTTGCAACCCTCTCGGTTCGATGTTATTCGATATTTTAGCCAAAGTAAGCGTGCGTAGCACATACTTGTACTAATTTCAAGCATTGAAATGAAAAAAGAAAACATTTCTGCCAAGCACAAAATTGTCGTCGCATATTAAAGATGCCAATTGTAATCATATACAATTTGAAGTTCGGTGCAGAGTTAACGTCTACCCCCAACCAGTTAGTATAAAATGTGAGATTGGATTAAAACCTATCTCGGCAAGAGATGGTTTTATCTAAAATTAAGTAAAGGGCCATATACACGCATCCGTACATAAAAAGGAATTGTTTGTTGTAATAATTAAAATAATAAAAATAAGGAAATAATGTTAAGGTCCTTGAAAGAATGTAATCAAATAAATAAAATATTCATTATTACACAAATAAATCGACACAAATTATTAAGCTAAATTATATACAAAAATACTATATATAGATATTTATAGTTTATATATACATATTATATAAATATGGAAAACAAATGAAACATTACATTAATAATGTATATTCGATTAAAATAAAAAGAAAAACTTAAAAAAGAGATAGTCCTGTAAGATGATATTAGTCCGTAAGAAGAAAAAAACGAAGAAAACAATTTCCTCCCCATCCCAAAAACAAAAAAACACATCCCTTAAACGTCACAACAATTATACCTTGACAAAGGATTCGAGAATTCCAAGTATAGCCATCCAGACGTACAACATAAATCAGCGCTTACGTATGAACCACCTGAATGTATGCAAAGAGCTCTTTTGTTAGATTGTATTGTGAATTTAACAATTAATCACTTTGAAATCACCGAAATCCCATATGATTACAACAGAGCTTTTAATAATGTCTTTTTGAAGCTAAAATCCTTCAAGGAATTCAAAAAAAAAAAAAAAAATACAAGTGCAATACATAGCCCTACTGGTGACTACCGATGACTATCGGTCGAAGGGCTATGTATTGTCTTTTATTTGAAATATAAATTGCATCAAAGGGATATTATCAAAAGCTCACACACTCACCCACAGACTCAACAAAGTTTCATATCAATAAAGGAAAGAAGGAATCAAACAAAAAGACATGTTAAGGATAAAGTAGAAAATTACATACATATATCTAAGAAAACAACGCGCACACATACACAAAGAAACGTACATATGCAGCTTTACCTGGAATTTTCATCTAATTGTATGTAGTTTAGACCAAAAATTAAAGAAAAAAATCATGCAAAGTTTGTCATGCCATATATACGTCGGAGGTCAGACGCGTATAGTGTCACTGAAGGGAGGAGAGTGCGTTTGCCGGCGAGGGGGGAGGAAAAAGTAAAACATTCCTTACTTACTCCTCTCTTCTCTTTGCACAAATCAAACCCAGTGTCCTTCCAATGAGACAGACTCGACGTGTCGGACTCCCGACTATCATTATTGTATTATAGTAAAATTACTAGGTGAACATTTTTTCTTGTTCTGAATTATCCATTACATCTTTCGTTTGTTTTGAAAGGCATCTATCTATCAATCACAAAATACAACAGTAAAGAAACCCATCGTTCTCTTATAGCATAATTTTGTATTTGTTTTACTTTTTTTTTCTTTTAATTATTATATTTTATTTGACCTAAGTATTGTTTAACAAACACCTACACAATTTTTTTATAATTGTATTAATTTTATTTAAATGTAATTATTGTTTAACATTTTTTTTTATCAATTTTATTAATTATAGATAGACAGATACACACACAAATCGTCATATATTGCTCATATAAAATATTTTTTATACTTAAATTTATTCGGATTTTTATTTCTTTATACATATATTTTTTACATTATACAATTTTTAAAATGCAAAACAAAACAATGAAAAGATTACCAGTTTCATTTTTATTATTAATAGTGGTTGACAAACGCCATGATTATCATTGGTCGATCGGTCGATCAATCAATAGTTCAATCGAAAGACCGATTGTATTTTATGCTCAATTGTATCAAATAAAACGAAAGCAAAGCAAAAGGCAACAACAATTATGTTATGGAAATGAAACGAAATAAATAAAATTTATAAAATAATAATAAAAACCACAAAATATGTATTATTAAATGCTATTGAAGAACGTCAAAATATATTATATACATATGTATATTGTATGTACTTAAAAATGTTATCAACGAGGATGGTTGTTTTTATTTTTGTAGATTGACCAAAACGGGTGGGGGTGCAAATTGACAGGAAGTATGGGTGAGAAAAAGTTTTTTTTTTCGCCCGAAATCGAGGGGAAGAGAGCAAGAGTAGAACTTAAGGGACAAATATAGAAGACGAGCTTTTCATATTGTCTAATGAAATAGCACTTTACTCTGAATGTCGATCAATTTAAGAATTTGCAAATTTTATTTGTGCATTCTTACGAAATGTATTGGATTTGCAGGGGGGTTACTATGTAACTCGACTCGAAAGTTCGAATAAGTTAAAAATTGTATTCGATCCAAATTTATACTATATCTCTACTCGGATATGGCAAACTAAAAGTAGGAATTGGAGTTCGTTGATAGGAAAAATTCGCTTCTGAAATATTTTACTTTTGAATCGACTTACATACATAGTAACCCCCCAGGTAGAGGTAGTTCTAAAATAAGAAGATTTCAATGATAATTTGTTTAACCTCCTTGTATTTAAACATCAAATGGAGCTCATTTTTATTTTCTATAAAAACCGCGACGTAGTTCTAATAAACTACTTAAATAAACTACTACGAAAATAAACTATATCAAACGTTTGCAATCGTTTCGTATTATTTTCGTATATTTTCTCGAAGTACGAAACGAAAAATACCGATATTAAGAAAACAGGACTTGTTTTTCTTCTGTACCGTTTGTGTAGATGAATGGAAACAAAAGGAAAACTGAAATGTACTGGACTGGATGACGCAACAATGGAAACGAAACAGATCAAGCCTCATTGGACACGTTCGCAAACTCTATTTGTATATTAACTCTTACAAATAGAGTAAAAACTAATATCAAGTTAAATTCATGCCTTTTTATACCCTCCACCATACTATGGAGGGTATATTCATTTTGTCACTCCGTCTGTAACTCATCGAAATAATGATCTTAGACCCAACAAAGTATATATATATTCTTGATCAGCGTACAATTCTAAGACGATTTAGCCATGTCCGTCTGTCTGTTGTAATCACGCTATCTTTCGAACGAATTGAGATAGAAGGCTAAAATTTTTCACACAAGTTTATTTTGCCAGAGGGCAGATTAAGTTCGTAAATGGGCCATGTAGGTCCACGTTTTCATATAGACCCCAATTAACGGTACCTCCCTATATTTGGTATTTTGATGATTTTAGCGACATTATTCACCGGAATTGTTTCATATTTGGTGTTTGAAGTTCGAAATGGATACTACAGTCTGAGACAGAAAATTGTCTGTGCAAGTCCTCGTCTTCGTATAACCCCCATATAACTGTACCTCCCTATATTCGGTATTTTGATGATTTTAGCGTCATATTCACCGTAGTAGTTTCAAATTAGGTATTTAGAACTGCAGTCTGTGAGAACTGCAGTCTGTGACAGAAAATTGCCTATGCAGGTCCAGGTCTTCATATAGGCCCCATATATCAGTACCTCCTTACATTTGGTATTTTGACGATTTTAGGTACAATACTCACCAAAATTGTGTGAGATGTCGTATTTGAAGTTCGTAATGGAAGCTACAGCCTGTGACAGGAAATTGTCTATGCATGTCCAGGTCTTCGTATAGCTCCTATATAACGGTACCTCCCTATGTACGATATTTTGATGATTTTGGCTACCGTTTATTTCAAGTTTCGAATTTGAATATGGCAATGGCTTGTGACAAACAATGCCTATGTAGGTACACGTCGTACAGGCCCTAATATAACGGCTATATTCGGTATTTTTAAAATGTTAACAGAATTTTTTGTGAATGTTATCTTTTTCGAAAATTTTCAAATTCGTTCTAAATGGTGGAGGGTATTCAAAGTTCGGCCCGGCCGAACTTACTGCTTTATTACTTGTTATTAATTTATTAATTTCATCATACAATGGAAAACGTGCAAAACAATATATAGAATCAGTCCTCCGACAAACTCGTTCGATTTTACTCACAGAGTGAAACTCAGTCGAATTCGAGCGAGTGCGCTCCTAGGAGTACAACAAAAAATTGAGCAAACTCATTTATTTGATGTCACCCGAACAAGGAATGGGAATGTTTTCCTCGAGCAGATCTACTCTTAGCCGAGCAATGAGTTGTGTTTGTGTGTGTATTTTCGCAACCACCAGTTGCAAACGTAACTAAAACAATCAAATCAAACACAAGCTTCGTTGCCTATCAGCAGACATGTCAATTTGAAGGTTTTCCCACTACAGTGGTAGCGGTTGCAGCCATGGTAGAAGAATACAGGTAAATGCATCAACGCTTGGGATCATTGATATGCCAAATATTTTTAAATGTTTCTTCAAAATTTTCAATTCCAAAATTGGTTTGACAGTTCATTGTCATTTCATTGACTACCTATGTTCTTCTACCATGGGTTGCAGCCATTTATACGCAACACTGTTTATTGCATTTAAACATAGCAAACCCAAACCCAAGGAATATATATAAGGTTTGACAAGAAAACTACTTTTAACAACAATTTGACATTATTTGAGATGGCTAAAGCATCTTAAGCCACATTTTGATGTTCCAAATTTTGGCTGGTAAATAAAATTCCCAAAGAGGGGTTCCCGGATCTAACATTTTTAGAGTCCATTTTATACAGCTTAACCATCACAAAGGGCCGCAAATATTTTGCCCCATTCTCCGCAAAAGTTACGATAAAGTTTTAAATATGATACAGTCCTAAGGGTTACATGAGAAATCATTTGTACAAAATATGTATCAGGTTGGTCTACATTGTGATATAGCCCCCCTCAAATGATATAGCCCTTTTCAAATTCCTCAATTGTTGGTAATTTGAGATTTTATAAAAAAAAAACAAATTCTTTCAAATAATTATATGAATAGGACCATGCTTCATTATAACTCTTATGTGAAGGAATCCGCTGATTTTAGCTATTACTTGGTCACATTTTTCAATTGATTTTGCCCTTATTTGGCATCTAGCTGGTAGAAGACCTCTTTGCGGAAATTTTTCAATGTGAATGTTTCAGAGTAGCGCTCATATAAAAGTACCTCCTGATTTTACCTATTTCAAGGTTTTGATTAAATTTTCGAATCGATTTGACTTAAAATGTGTGTTTAGGCTACTTTGAAGGTCGAGAACCATCTTACATGGGCCTATTATAAACCGTTAATGTATACTTTTCAATATATATTATTTACATATTATTTAGGATTTTAACTCTCAAACTAAAATCTCTTACTGAAAAATAGGATCAGGTTTTTTGAAAGACGTATTTATTTCTATTTAATCGAGTCAATTGTGCCACTTATGTGAGCCAGATTTGTGAATTATTATGCTTTAAAAACTATGCAACGCGGACTGGGCCAAACCTTTGATTCGATGAAACACCTTACCTTACACGATCCGATTGGTTGTTAGTCCTTTGTAAAGTAACTTTCTCATATTTAACAATTTGATAGCATTCTTGAAAGCTATAAAATTGTAATCCCTGCCATCGGGTCATCCGAACTCATAACAAATTCAGTATATTCCCATTGTCTATACGTCCAATGAAATTCACTGGACTTGCGATTCGATTTCATTTGACGTATATGGTAAGGTGTTTCATCGAATCAAAGGTTTTAGACCGCAAATCTATTCGAAAGACATTTTTTCAGAACTTTTGTCGAGGTTTTTGTCCAAACCTAGGTAAATTTATCAATTTTGAAATCACGAATAGAATAATTTGGTATTGAAGAAATTCATAGTTCTCAAATTTAAAATAGTGAAATAATATAAATAAATCAATGTTTTGTACTTGTTTTTTTTTCTGAAATTTGTCATTTCGTCATTTTACGAGGGACGGTCATTTTATAGTAATTTTCTAATATGCGATAACACCGTTGCAGAGAATAAGTTTTTAGACAAATCTAGCGCCATCTATTATGTAAAACCTTGAATTATTATTTTGAAAATGTAGAGTGTAAAACTGTAACAGATAATATTAACTGCACTCAAAGACATAAAACATAGACAAATGAAAATATAGACATAGACAAATGAAGATATAGACAACGAAAAGTTAGTTTTGTTTTTTTTTCCAGGTGGCTCTCATTATGTTTTGCATAGTCAACACATAGGTCAACATGCTGATTTACGCCATAGACCATAGACAAATGAAGATATAGACAACGAAAAGTTAGTTTTGTCTTTTTTTCCAGATGGCTCTCCTCATGTTTTGCATAGTCAACATGCTGATTTACGCGTTCAAGCCACTCGACTTCGAAAACACATTTTATCGTTTTTCAAGAATTTCACTGGAATATTCCCATATTTTTCGATGTCATCACGTACTTTTCACATTTCTTTTATTATAAAATAATTTTCAGCTGACAAATATCCTACAGTTTTTGTTATTTTTAACATTTTTGAATTGAGTGACTTCAAAATTCCCACTCAAACCCCTGAAACGATATGGACGACATCTGCTGATCCGATTTTTTTCGAAGATAAACGGTGAGAGCATTTCGTTGTCTATATTTTCATTTGTCTATGCATAGACGAATGAAAATATAGACAACGAAATGCTCTCAGCGTTTATCTTCGAAAAAAAATCGAATTAGCAGATGTCTTCTATATCGTTTCAGGGGTTTGAGTGGGAATATTGAAGTCAATCAATTCTAAAACGTTAAAAATAACAACAACTGTAGGATATTTGCCAGTTGATAGTTGTTCCATAATAAAAGAAATGTGAAAAGTACGTGATGACATCGAAAAATTCCGGAATAATCAAGTAAAATTCTTGAAAAACGATAAAATGTGTTTTCGAAGACGAGTGGGTTGAACGCGTAAATCAGCATGTTGACTATGCAAAACATGATGAGAGCCACCTGGATAAAAATACAAAACTAACTTTTCGTTGTCAAAGACATATAATAGGGTAAGTGCGCCATGTAAGTTCGGCATGTCCCAGTAGTCGGCAGTTTTGAAATTGAAACTTAAATAATTAAAAATGGAATTGACCAAATAA